GGATCTCCCTTCAAACTCTCTCTGCGATCTCCTGCGGACAGATTTAACCAGCCGCGGTTCCTTTCCATCCCTCTCCCTCTCCCTCTCGCTCTTTCTCTCTCTCTCGCTCTTTCTTCTTCGCCAGGGCTTGGGAGGCGGTTTAGGCCCCCCGGCCACTAGGGCCCCCCATGTGTTATGGGGCTTTGAGGAGGCGTGAGAAGGTTTGACATGCTTTTCCCCCGAGGATGTGTTATAGTTGATACCCCAGGCCCGCCATACAGTAAGTCCTAGATTTCCCCAGGGGAGACATGCTGCAGTGCAAAGCTTTGGGACGCCTACGGAATAGCTCATCATCTCACGTCGGTTTTCCGCTCTTTCTCTCTCTCTCTCTCTCTCTCTCTCGCTGATCTCCCTGAATTGAGCCCACAACAGGCATGCTCAACAGACCCAAACCCGCTCGCCACAAGCCTGGAGTCTGAGCAGCAGCAGCTGCTCTGTTTGCTTCCCATGCGTAGGGGCAGCAACAGCTTGGCCGAATTGGAGGGCCCCAAGGCTTCGGGTTCAGGGTATAGGGTTTTTAGGGGTTTTAGGGTTTTTAGGGTTTAGGGGTTTAGGGTTTAGGGTTTAGGGTTTAGGGTTTAGGGTTTAGGGTTTAGGGGTTTTTAGGGTTTAGGGTACAGTATACGGGTTTAGGGTTTAGGGGTTTTTTTCCCTCCCACATAGCCAGGACGAGCCCGCATTGCAGGGTTTCGACTCTCACACTCGCACCAGGCATTACAGGGTTTAGGGGTTTAGGGTTTAGGGCTTAGGGTTTAGGAGTTTAGGGTTCAAGGTTTAGGGTTTAGGGTTCAGAAAAGAGGCAGCTGAGCATAACACGAGCCTCTGTATTGGGCCCAGGGTTTAAGGCCTTGTTCGCTTGTGTTAAACCCTGAACCCTACACGTTCTACTGCCAGCTCGCGTTCAACACCTGATCAAGCATCATATGAGTGACTCACAATCTGCCATAGTCTGTCATGGTAAGTAATATAAAATACACCCTAAACCCTAAACCACAAAAAGGCAAGAAAGGTGCTGGTTTAGAGTAGGGAGAGCTTCCCATCTGCTCCGAGCTGCCCAGCTCGAAGCAGACTTGAGCCAAGACGCGAAGATCAGCTGAGAGACTTGGGGATGCTTGGGGGTTTTTAGGCTTTGGGACTTACAGCCGCCTTTGGGACTTCGGCTTTGGGACTTTTTTTTTGTTTAAAGTGTAGTGGCTTTGGGACTTAGGGTTTAGGGTTTTGGGTTTTGGGTTTAGGGTTTGGGGTTTCGGCTATCGGACTTAGGGCTTGGGGTCTGCCAAGGATCCGGGGCTAGGGTTCGGCACGGGCTTTAGAGGGTTCTGAAGTCTACTTCAGAAGCCCCTTTGAGGTAGTGAGCCTACGTAGTATGCCATAAGGAACCAGGGAATAGCCCCAAGACCCACCGTACCAAGCCTGCTTCCTAGATCGTTAGCTTTGTTCTGGCCAAGGAATGTCAAAGCCCTGCTTCGAAGGACCCCATCCGACCTTATGGCTCAACCTCAGCATGACCCTGGCTTGGCAAGCCAGGCAAATGTCCCCTTCGCTTTTAAGGTTTTTTCCGGTCAACACCTTCAACAACAACTGAACCTGAGGCCCCAAACTCCTGAAACTCTGGACACTCCATGCTTGGAGGGCGGTCGAGCCTGCTGCTGGTCCTGCGGTAGCTGCAGGCATGGCCATGTTCCGGATGCTCTGAAGGTACTGCCTCAGTTTAGGGATTACGGGGTATCGCTCAAGCTAGCACGGAGGGAGGATGCCACACAAGGGGCGTGAAGACGGCAGTGGTGGGTGGAATGAGGAAGGCAGCTTTACAAGCTTTGGCTTGTAGTGTTGAGCGGCCTCGGCTATAACAGGAGCTTCAGGGAAGGGCCGCAGTGCGAGCTCTGTGAACCCGTTCACGAGGATGCTCAAGAAACCCATGTAAGCCCTAAACACTTTATGCTTCAAGCCCATGGAAGCCCTTCCCTGGGCCCTGCCATGGCATCACAGAGGCCGTCGGGAAGCGGAAGGCGCCCTGGATTCTGCTACGTCCGCTAGAGAGGCCGGGTTGCAGGTATCGAACACCGGACGCATCGCCGCCAGCACTTTCGTAGGCCTTCCATTCGAACTCTCTCGGGTGACATCGATTATTCTCGCTTATGGCGCGCTGAACCCCTGAACCTTAGAGACTTTTCGGCCTTGTAGAAAATTCCAACCCGACGATCTTCGATGGCCCGTGTGGGAAATCTAGAAAAGGCACCTCGGAAACCTGCATAGGTCTAGACAACAGGGACTAGTTTAGCTATGCGGGCAAATCTAAGGTGTTAACAGACTCCAATAAGCCCTCAATGGAGGTGCTACTGTCCATTCCGTACTTCATCGACGGGTTCCTTGACAAGGGATCATATTGTTCCTTGGTCCCTGGCAGAGAATCAGGTTTCAGTTGCAAAAAAAAAAAAGCGAAACTGCTCTGCTTGCTTATCTTGCTGGCGACTCAACATTCTACTTAATTCTACTCAATCCCCTAAGGCGAACTCAATAACTGGACGATTTCGGGCTTCGCCGGTTCGCTTCTCGCAGTAACGGCTTCAGTCAGGCACGCTTAGTCTGTCAAGGCCTGAGGCTGCCGGCCTTCTTTGTGGAAGGCTCTCCTAGACCCCCAAACCCTACATACGAACACCACTCTAAAGCCTTAAAACCAAAAAGACACAAACGTGCTCTAGATGCCTCCACAACGGACTGCAGCTGCTGTTGGGTGACCGTTGGCTTCGTCAGGACCTTGGTTCAGAGTCTTCTGATGTTAAGGCCCCAGGTTTGGGGGTTAGCCCCATGCACAGAACTCGAGAACCGCAAAGGACGCCGGATCAGACAGCATGACTCATACCAATGACTGACGGCCCCGTTCAAATCCCCCAAGTCAGGGCCGGAATAGTTGTATGCTTAAACACCCGCAACAGACGATAGCCCAAGTAAGAGCAAAGCTTACCAAACGAGGCTGAAATTTAACGAAACGAGTCATGGTTGCAACAATAGCGCTGATGCATAACATCCTGCCTTATCTGGAGCGCCCGAAAGATTAGACCATATTCCCTCTCGTGTGGACGATGCAGGGTTGGGCTCGTCAACGGTAGGACTTTGTGCTTCAGCGCTCTGCTGTGCGGCTTTTAAAGCTTCCGTTTCTGTCACCTTCAACACAACATGGCAAAGAAAATACGCATTCAGAAGCCCACCTTGCAGACTCACTTGGTTCACAATATCTTCAAGTCAAACAGATTCGCACGAAATACGTTGATATGGACGCCGGGGGCCTGCCTGCAAGTGTTGAATTTCCAAAATTTCTGTGCGAGGCACGAGAACCATGATAGCCTGAGCTGGTTGCTGGTTGGCTTGTTGCTATGCTTCGGGGTTCAGGGTTCTTCAGAAAAGGAGGGCTCGGGGTGTTGCGCTGAGCTCCAAGTTGTCGGCTTGAGGGCTCGTTGCTGTCGGCTTCTAGAGCCTGAGACTTAAGCCAGTGCATGCCGGGGTTTCCTGCTGGTTTGCAGGTCTTGCTTTTGCATTTGGGCTGGATGACAGCACCTCTTCCTGGGTTGAAGGCCACGCCTTCGTGAAGCCTGCCCGGAACTGGGGCTTTGGGGCTGAGTGTGGGTGGACTGGCGTGTGGTGCTTTGGACTTGGTGTGCTCGATCAAGGCCTGCTGAATGCCGTATAGTGACCTGTGTTTACCAAGAGGTCCAACAGGAGCGGTAGAAGCTGACGATAAGGTGTCCCGACCAGAGTTCTCTCAAGCGAAACTGCAACCCTTCACTCGGTCCCCCAGTTTCGGTTCATGAGCCTCAACCTCATCCACGGCAACTCCAGGGACCCATCTCCGGTCCCCCACATCGAATCGCTGTTCTGAGGGTCTTCTTTCAACTTCTCAGCCCCAGACTCGAGCGACTCTCCGAAAGGGGTTTTAAGGGCACCGCCTAGCGTTCCGGAGCTCCACAAAACGTCAAGCAACGATTCCCTTGGCAAAGTCGAACCAAGACATACCAAAACTAGAAGCACACCTTCAATCTCGGAATCCTATGTCCGCAGACCTGGGATCGAAGGCCTGGCTTTGGGAGATCAGCTCGCAACTCAGCACCGGCAGAATGAAAATGCCACCCCATCCCGGGCCAAGCAAGGTCCAACAACCCCGAAGCCGTATTTTTTGCAGGGCTGCAGAAACCCTAAACCCACTTTCAAGAAAGTTCAAGCGGTTTCGACGGGCCGACGGCTATGAATTTCTAAATTCCTCCGAGGCTCTCGTAGCTTATCTGCCAGGGTCCCCTTCTGCGAGGATCCCAGGAGCTGTTCCTGTGAAAAACAAGCTGGGGTCAAAAGTTTGTAGTTTAGGGTTTAGGGTTTAGGGATTCTTTGGCGTTTTGAGAGAAAAAACGCTATTAAGGTCCAGGGTTTGCCTGTTAGGGTGTTGGGTGCAGGGCTTTGATGCAAGGGCGGCCGTCACCCGCAGTCCAGGCAAAGGCCGGCCAGCCATCCTAAACCCAGAGGGGCCCAACAGAATTCAATCAACTTGCTTCACCAAGGAGCCAGCTCTTTCACGGAGGTCCCCAGGGACTGCGATGCCAACTGATCCTCGAACTCGTAGTACCTGCAGTCTACTCTCTCACAACCCAGCCTTGCCAGACAGGTTGAGGGTGTTTCTGCCGAGGAACACGGGTTCGAAGCTCACACTCGGACTGGCTTTTTGCTGCAGCTCATGCCAGATCTGGGTTGGCACCCGCCTCCAGCAGCAAGCGAGCGATCTGGGCATATCCATCGCAGGACCCTCAAGGTCCGGACTTACCTGACTTGAACGGTTGCACAGCTTCGAGGAGGGCATCATGTGCAGGATGCGTCGGAATCGTTCGCTTGCTTCTGGAGGCAAGTGCCAACCTGGATCTGGCAGGCATCGATGGCTGTACTGCTCTGATGAAGGCGCGCGGCGGAAACATCTGGAAATCCTCCTCTTGTTGTTGGAAGCGGGTGCTGACAAGGATGTGGCAGACCACAGCCAGCCACCGAAGGACGTGCGCAAATCGTGCGTGTGCTGCTTGAAGCTGGTGCTGACAAGGACTTGGCGGACTACCACCGCTGCACAGCCTTGATGAGGGCATGTGGTCAAGGACATGTCCAAGTGCTTGCTCCTGGCAGCAGCTGCCAGCAAGGATCTGGCAGACAGCAACGGCTTCACAGCTTTGACAAGGGCACCCTGCCAGCAGCAGCTGCCAAGTCGTTCGCCAGGGACCGGGAAACGACAGCGAACGGCAAAAGCAGGAGATGCAGGTCCATTGGCGAATGCACATTGGCCGTCTCCTCCAAAACCTCGTCGTGGAGGAGGAGTCTCTGTCTGAACCGCGGCAACACGAAACGTCCATGCTTGCAACATCTTGCGGGAGGTTCAACCTGGCAGAACTGAATCTATTCCCCAGCTGCCAGGAGACAGTGTTTTGCCCGAGCCAAAACGGATGTATGCTGATGATACTCCGGCTGTGGCACTTTGGAAGGCCTCATTGTCCCCGGCGCCCGTATGCCATGGCACAACGTTCGGAAATTCGGCACGTTCCTACAAACCTTGAGCCCTTGAGCCCTAGCTCTCGAGGTGTAAGCCACCAAAACAGTTTCGGGTTGAGAGATTCTTTTAGGGGCCTTTTTCAATTAAGAGTTGGACTACCCCAGTGATAATGAGGGCTTTAGCATTAGGGCATCACCATGCTGAACTTTCCACCCGTGAGATTGTTGGTTGCTGGTTTTCGGGACCTTAATTAAACCCGGCCAAACCCTGAGCCCTTGAGAGTTCACGGCTGAGGGCTTAAGGTGGTGGGCTTTGGGTGCCCAGCGTGTCCGGCCTATCCAGTTCTCGTGCTTTCACCTCCGCCACCAGAGCGTGGGCGATATTTGTATGCATGTCCTTGGCTCACATCAAAGCGAATCAGAGGGGTTGCTTGCCGTCATAGAGCCCCCAAGCACAATCGGTTGAAGCTCATTGCCCTGTGAGGTCGGTCCCGAGGCTTTGCGTGCAGGCCTGCGGCTCGCATTTTCATCTCAAGAGTGGTACTTTCTTTGACCACCCTCATCATCGGGATGCTAAGAACATGGGCCATACTCTTGGCAGCGTAAAGCTGATGTATTGCAAAAAACTACATGTTCGCACAACAAAAAAGAACCACGGCAGTCCAAACTGACAACATGATGTTCGTGTTGACACTTAACCTGTATCATCAAAGCCTTGCGACAACGACGACACACATCAAGTCAGGTCGGACAAGTCTCGATGCTGCGCTTCTTCTCCGTCCTCGGCTGTCGGCACGTCGTCTGGCTTCTAGATTCGACTCCCCTCACTGTAGAACCCGCTGCACTCAAAACAAGGAACCGCAAGCAAAGGTGGGTCGCATGTTAAACCCCGCACAAAGGATAGCCATCCCTAAACCCTGAAACCAACTGCAGCTGGTGCCACATCTCCGGCAGCGCATTGATGGCCGCCGCCAGCCCGGGCGCCAGCGCATCCTTCATATAAGCAGATACGGGCTTCAAAGGCATACTCTTGAGGGTCTAGGGTTTGGGGTTTAGGCACGCTTCACCAATTATTCGCAACCCCCGAAAACAAAGCTTACCAAGCCCAACCCACCTCCTGCTGGCCGGAGCCCGCCATCTCGGTTCTTCTCTTCTCGAAGTCCTGTAACAGGGTGTTAAGACTGTTGGGCTTGAGGTTTTTAGCTTGAGCTTCTTTAAGGCCTTTGGGCTTCGAGATTAATGTTTGGGATTGGGCTCTTGTCTTAGGGCTTCGGGTGTGTAGGGTTCGGGGATTGGGGTCTTGGGGCGGTACTGCTTGGGAAGAATTGCGGCGCTGCGAGTGGAACTGAGGGTATTGGCGTGTGATTGGAAGCCAAAAACAAGCTGCAGTCCCGAATAAGATCAGATCCGACACCTGCTTAGGGGTGAAGGCTGCTTCTTTTTAGGTTAGGCAAGGGGTTCCAGGGACCATGCACCTTTGCCGCACTCAAACAAATAATTAACCACGCCCCAGAAACCCAGAGCCTCCAAAGCCAATTAGGCAACATGCGGTGCATAGGGAGGGAAAGCTTGATATGATCTCGTTTGTTTATTGTTTGGGGGTTAGGGAACCTTCCGCCCATTAGAGCAGATACTCAACATATGATTTGGCTTCAGGCATTTAAGGTTCAGGGTGTACGGTTTAGTGAACCCTTTCTCGGCATGGGCTTGGAGCGCATGCCATCGAACCCCTAAAACCCTAAACCCTTGCAGAGGCTTTAGAATCTCTCGGAAGGTGCCATAGAATCCCTGGAAGCCGCCTCGATTGCTTTCGGGACCTCGGCAGGACACCGAAAAGGAAAGAAGCAAGCGATTTTGCCAGCTTCACCTGCCTGCTCCTTACAGGGGGCCTGGACCGATGAACGGACGGACGGACGGACGGATGGATGGATGCAACGGTACGGCTGCCACAGCGGTCCCTTCCCTCCGCCACGTCAGAGAGCTTCTGCAAGCGTCATCGGCAGCCCACCGGCAAAGGTTTGAGGTCCATGACGCGCCGCCCCGTGCAAATATCCATAAGCTCCCCAGTGCGTTCACAGGCAAGGCGGGAGTGGATGATCGAACTGGATGCAATCAAGGGGGGGAGTAGTGAGCCCACGCAAAATCCTCCATTCTCACCCTGCACTCAAGCATATGATATCATCTGCTTCAAGGCAGATTGCTTCAATCTCGGGGTTTGGGCTCTCTTGATCGGAACATGGCGCATAGGATTTGAAGGGTTTGGGGGTTTAGAGCTTTAGGGTGCTGGGTTCGTGGCGCAGGGTGCAATGTTCTCGGGCTTGTCAACAGCCCCAACTATGGAAAGGGTCTACATGAAGCCACAGCAAGAGGCGCTACACAGGTCAGCGAACAATTTCTGGATCTGAAGGCTGGCGGCTCTCAGGGTCAAGAGTTGACACGTGGGACTCACAGTGGGTTAGATGAAACAATGCGAGTCATGGCTCTCACATGCTTTGTGGGGCAGAGCTGGGGGCCTCTTTCTGTGGGGGGGGGGGGGGGGGGGGG